TCCCCGCGCAGCGACAAAACGTAGTGGTTGAACTGGTTCAGGCTGCAACGACTATCGGTTTAGTTACTGTTGGCATATGGATGTCTTCACATCTATCTTAAGTGAATTGAACATTCTATCTCTTTCGTTAGTGTATATAAAACCTGTAACTATGTCTAACACTCTAGTCTTCCCATAGAAATGGAGATATGAAGATACCTCACAAACAAAACCAGCTTTATATTATTATATATCCCACTTTCACAAGCGTTGAAACTACATTTACAAATAAATGCATCTTCCAACGACTAAGAGAAATTTTTTGAAAAGAAACGCATGGCTCATGCCACAGTTGGTGGTTCCAATTTTTAGCTACTTGATATTTTCTTTAGGCATCTATAATTCTTTTTGTTTTGTGACATTCTCTGGTTTATCATATCACAAAAAAAAAAAAAAAATCTTGACATTGTATTATATACATTGTGGACTCTTCAAAAGCCAACTATCAACGCAACCACGGTGGAATTTGTGCATGTAATCTCGTTGCCTAACAATCTAACATACCCATTCTAGACGAGATGAATTAAGAAGTCAATTGAACAAAAAAAAATTATGATTAAAATTTGAAGGAAAACAAATTCAAAAGTTAGAGTTCATCATGATCAAAATAGTCTTCGTCGTCCAAGTCTTCGTGATGAACTGCCTTGTAAAAGACATCTTCGTGGTGCAACATCTCTTCAAGAGATAGTTTACCATCTTTATCCTCATCCGCCTAACAAAATAATTAAAATTTATTGGACGTTGAAAGTCTAAGCATTATACATATACATCCACTATTAATGAGTTTCAAAGTTGTGAGGAAGAAAACTTAAGATTAAGATTTAGGTTGGGAGAGACTAACCTCGTGGCAAAGGAAAGTAGAATAGAATTTGGCATAACTCATCTCACCAGGTTGAAGATATTGCAAAATGGGTCGAAGCTCATCGGCCACGAGGAATCTGTCTTTGTCTCTGTCCATCTCTGCGAACAGAAGCTGAGGTGTTGGCACATTCTCATCCTCCTCTTTCTCGAACTTTGCGAATTCTTTATACATTTCATATGCATTTTTTACAAACTCTTTGTACTCTAGCTTCCCATCACCGTTCGTGTCCATGCCCCTATATATTATATATATCAAACAACATGTTGTTTCCTAGTTAAGCTTCATTTATGATCATATCGAAACACGATATATCACGAAATGCTTACGTCATTCGCTCCTTTAGAACCCATCTTTGTGTATCTCCGTTTCTGCTGTCTTCAGGGTGCAAGAAACTGCAAATCCCATATTTTCATTCATTTTTTATTTTCGGAAATTTTAAAAGTGATGAGATTTTTCAAGGCATATTAATTACTTGTTGAACTCCTCAATGTCGAGAGAGCCATTATGATCAAAATCAGAATTTTTGAATTGCTCCATCCACCAACCGGCTTCACCGTGACCCTTCTCGTTTTTCTCTGTTTCCATATTATCATTGTTTTTTCTTATTTGCATAATGAAGAAGAAAAATCTCGAAGGATCAAAGACAAGTTAATATATTACCAATGTCTTGTTTAGAGAATTGAGGCAAGTACTCTTCGAAAGTTATGACACCGTCCTTGTCCTTATCTTGTAGCTCAAGCTCTTTGGCGGTTCTGTAAACCATGTTGTCTTCTGTCTGTTGCATCATCCATGTCTGAAGCTCTTTCAAGCTCACAAAGCCATCTCTTGGAGACGCGTCAAGCAGAGGAAACAAGAACTTGATCCTCATTGTCGTGTTAAGCCTTCTCTCTTGTGCAAAATACTCCTCAAACATATCATCTTTCTCCTCTTTCGCAGCCTCCACGGTCTTCGTACCAGCTTCTTTCTCATGAGACAACCTCTCAATCCGGGTCACCAAAGGGTCAAACACCGGCATTTCAAGCCTCCGTCCGATGCGGCGGGTTATGAGACCCTCAATGGATTGAGTCTGGTTTTGTTTCTTATGAGCGAGGAGGATGAGGAAGATGATGGTGGCGGTTAGTATCGTGTAAACCACCACCTTGGCCATTTTCCGGTAGTCCAAGGTGGGGTAGGGAGAGAAGACGAAAGGGCCACGAAGATTGCTAATTCTGTTTTTGTATTTGCTTTATTGGGGGCTTTCCTTAAATCATTAAATTATGTTCTATCAACCGTTTTTGCCGCCAAAGTCGGTTATTTATTCGTTGAGGATCCAATGACTCTTCCTCTGTCTATATGTGTGTATTTATAGCAAACCAACAAAACCGGTTACGACATATCATAAAGCCTAAAGGAACAAAAGATTGTTAAAATGTAAGAAGAAAGAAATCAAAGAACAAGACTTGGTAACATCCAAGTGATATAGTGTTGGAACATCCCAGTGATGTGGTAGGGATGGAAAGAAAGTTTAAAGTAAAGAAAAGCTTCTTACTAAGTCATTTGATCATATACATTGCGGATTTAGAGAAGACGTGGTTAGTATTTGTTTAGTCTGCCTGCTTTGCAGAATCTCGGATCCAGGGCCAGTCTGATTCACAGAGATCAAGGGGAGAGTTTCCATCCTCATCTTTAGCGGCTGTGTTTGCGTTCTGTTTAACCAGAAACTCGGCGATAGCTTCTCTGTCGCATACAACAGCATAATGCAAAGGGGTTTGGCCTTCGTTGTCCTGTTCAACACAAGAACCAAAAACACATAAATAAAGAAGTTGCTAACTTTGCAGATAATGACTGGGTAGGAATTTCTCTTTCGTCACCTTAGCATTCACATCGGCGTTCTTATCGACCAGAACTTTGGCGATGTTGAGGTGGCCACGGTCTATAGCCCAGTGCAATGGTGTGCGACCTTCACTGTCTGCAGTTTATGGGAAAATTAGAATGCAGATCCAACATCACGAGAATGAACTTCCAAGAAACGGAATATACAAGCAGAGACTAACCCCTTGCATTTACAGGAATGCCGCTTTCAATGCTTTTCAGTAAATTCTCGACTTCTCCTTCTCTAGCAAATCCGTGTATGGCATCAATCTTCCTGAGAGATAAAACAAAAGTTCAATGAGCAGAGGATTAGTGTTTCATTCAGATAGACAGGAAGAAACGAACAGCTCAAAGTTCCATGAGACAATTGTAGCCATTTCACCATCAAAATTTGCTACAGCTAGAACGAGACAGTAATGTTACATATTCACCGAGTTTATGAGCCTCTTTCACAAATCAGGATACTTATATCTAATCTAGACATGAACGCAAGGATCAGGATATAAAACACATGAGAATACAAGAAGAGAACCTTACAACTCATTTTCGGACTCCTCATCATAAACCAAAGAGCTAAAAACTGGTCCCATGGTTCCTCTTGAGTTGGAGGCTGCATCATCCCCACCCCGACTTCCGGCTTTCTGTTAGTGAAGCTCACATGAACAGGCCAGAGGAAGAAACCGAAGCAATCAAACAAAGAAAAGGGGAAAAAGCTTTATACCACGCCACCGTCTAACCAAGTTGGGTAAAGCTGAGTGACAATCTCAATATACTTCTCCATCGCCTCTTCAGGTGGCATAGCTCCCAGTTTCTGCCATGCTTGCCTGAGATAGAACAAGATCATGGCACATCCCAATCAATGAAATTGCAATCTTACAACAAACCACAATTCCATATACAATCAACTGTTACAACAGTAAAAACCACATCATCTTCCAGCAGTTGCATAAGCTAAGAAGCAAACTAGGTGATTGTCTATGAAGAACCTAAAACCTCAAAAATTTCCACCTCAAATCAAATCTCAAACAGTTGAACAAAAACACCAGAAAATGATACATAGAAGTTAATGGCACAGCAGATTCAACGAAAGAGAGAGATACCACTTGGCACGAGCAGTCATTTTGAGAGCTGATGGCTGAGGAGCAGTACACGGCCCTTCCGTAGCAATCTTATACAATCCGTAAAGCTGCTGCTGCACATCACTCGGTACCTTCTGCGAAAGCCGATCTGCGGCGGCGGTAGTCACAAAAAGAGTGGCGGCGCTAAAAGCCTCATCGAGTTCCGTGCTCTCGACGCCTTCCCAATCATCATCTTCCTCACTGTCGTCACCGGCAACGCTATCACTTCGGGAGCTACCCTGCTCCGCCACAAGCGAATCCGCCTCACCACCGAAACCACCGCAAGAGGAATCGAGACGTCGCGAGTCAACTCCTTCCGGTTTAATCTCCAATTGAGACTCCTCTGGGTGACGAGTAAGAGAGAGATTGTCTTCTTTAAACGTGACGACGATCGAGATCAGCTTAGCGAGAAGGTAAGAGAAAATCAAACCTAGGATCACAGACTGAGCAAGTTGAGCCCAATCACCCATTATTTCTAAAAACGAAATCAAATTCTCAAAAACGAAAAACCAACGCCGACAATTAAAACCCTAGAGAAATTTCAACACAGAGTCTCACGAGGAGGATGAAGAAGAAGAAGGAAGCCAAGGGATCTGGAGAGACAAAAAGGAACAAACTTGTGTTGTTTTCCACCGATTCAGTCACCAAACAAAAAGAGAAGTTCCTTTTCGTTGTGGGCGTTAAGACTTTTTAATGAATTGGATCAAAGTTTAAAAGACGACACATAAAAAAACTTGGCGACGAGTGACGACAGATCACATATGGGTCTAATTGGGGAAGAAGTCGACGTGTTGTACCCTAATCTTTTTTGCTCCTTTTACCAACAAAATTAAATAAATATTTCACAATAACACGTAAAAAAGTTAATGAATTCAATAACAATGTCAAATTTTGTGGTGGAATCGTGGTCGAAAACAAATCTAGAAGACGTGCATGGTGTTGGGATGATTAAAGGCTTGACTCATACGACACGTAAATTGACATGTATCCATAAGAGAAAATAAGGTAGACCACAAACTTGAAGGCATTAGATTCACGTGAAGTGGGCACGAAAATGAAATCCCAACTTTTTTTCTTATAACAAAAGATAAAACTCATACATGATATTAAATAGTCCCACTTCCAAACATTGCTTGCTCAAATGAGCATCTCATGAAGAGAAAACCCAACCCACCCATACGAGTGAGTGAATCATTTTTACATGGAATACTCATTTAAGCAAGAAACATTAGAAAGTGGAAAGGAGAGTTTATCACTTTTGTGACTTTGTCACCATGAGAGTAAGAGAGATGATGACTCTAATTGATATATATCCCTATAACTATATATGAGCAACGTGACTCCACAAACAATAAAGAAAATTACGAAAATACCCTAAACTCAAACAAGAAACTACCCACCAACCCAGGCTACCATACTCTACTACTGAACATCTTAATAACTCCAAGACACACTAACCAAATACTTGAACAAGACTTGTAAGTAAAAGCAATGGAATGGTAGCTAAAGCTTGACTTTTATCCAACAATCAAACATTCTCAAGCAAACTACATGCCTGGGGGATTCATTCCCCACTGTATCGTGTAGATTAATACAAGGAAACAAAAAAAAAAGATATTTTCTCAATTACCTACCCTTTGATCTGTAATGGGTCACTTAACCTGTGGTAATTTTGAAAGACTATTCGTGTTGTGCTCCATACCGGCATTGGATATTTTCCCCTTCTATGAGCTTCTCAACTGCATCGAGAGGAAGACCCACCAGCTCTAACGTCTTTTCCCACACTCTCTGTGCAGTTTCTGTGTTGTGTGCTTCTTCGGAAGGATTTGCAGGGCGGCAATCTTGAGAGATGAATGGGCAAACAGGCCAATCATCGTTTTTTAGTGTTTCCCAGTACTCTGGAATCTGAGGATCTGTGGCCGAGAATAGAGAACTTCTACAACCTTCTTGGGGTGAAAATATGAAATAAGGTATCACTGCGTAAAGAGCTTGAAGAATCCTGGATAGATCCCTGGCCTGTAAATTTCGGAAAGAAATAGGCAGTTCAACGCAATGAATTTCTGAGAAAACAGAGGAATCCTGCACTTGTAACGAAATGAAGTGAAGCTAATACTCACAACATTTGTTAGGACAACACCAGGGGATAGACATACGACGCTGACTCCTGTTTCCAGAGGAAGCTTTTTGAAAAGAATGCTACTAAACATAATCTGGAAGATGGAAGATCAGAGAGCGAGACTTAACTCACCAGTTTCTGAAAATAAGCCTCTTTCAGAAAATGGAAACTACGGCAGATGTCATTACTGTAAGCTCACCTGGGCAAGCTTGCTGCTTGAGTATCCTATAAGGCTTGAGTACTTACGTCTACCAGAAACAACATTCATGTCATCCGGGTCAACAAAACCGACACTATGCATCTACAAAAGTGAATCCCACAACCCATTATCTTGCATGAAAAAGTAATAATCAAAGACAATAAATATAAACTGTTTCAGTTTTCATAAACAGCCAGGCACAGAATTCTTCTGAAATGAGTAATGACATAGTGCAGTCATGGAAGCGTATTTGGGGTTGAAACTTTCAACAAGCTATGGTTGTATCGTTTCTCTATACCAAGACTGTGTTAATACAATATGCATATGTAGTTCAGTGATTTAGAGAGATCTATATCAGTTATCTACATATTCTGCAACCAATTGACAAGACCAGAGGTTTTCAAGTTACAGAATACACAAACAAATCAACCTGTCAACATGATTACTCATACCAAAGAGAATATAAACTAGAGAATACAGACTTGGAGCCTGCAGTATCAGTGATCATAGAGAACTTACAACGGAATTCACATTAATGATTCGGCTAGGAGAGCCTCGGATCAGAGACGGCAAAAGAAGTACTGAAAGCAGCGCTGGAGCTAAATGATTCACTTGCATGTGCTGCTCATATCCTTCCTCTGAGAATTTTTGCGCCTCTGCACAAATCAGAGAACAGAGCATTTTAAGGTTACTTTTCCTCAACACATACTGCAGAAAATGTAGCATCTGACAACCAATCATTTAAAAAGGAGACCCATTGGACAGAGTTGCTATGAAAGAACATGCCAGTTCTCACCAATTGGGTCCATCAAGTTGGAATATTGATGATGATGATGATTGGTTCACAAGTATGACTTTGAGATCATAACAAAGAGATGATGAAAATAGATACAGGAAACAACAGAAGGGGAAACTCAATGCTTATAGCTAAAACGGCAATAAAACCAACCTCCCATAGCAAACATCCCAGCATTGTTAATCAGAACATGCAAAGGTCCTAACCGAGCGTTGAAAGCCTCAGCAAATCTCGCGACAGAATCCAGTGAGAGTAGATCAATCTCCATTGCCTTTACAAAATAAAACAGAGTATTATTATCAACTATCTAGACGTTACAAGCCAATAGTCTAACTCTCTAACTAATATACAAGAAATTGGCTTAGCCACAGTCTAGATAGTTCACATATTATTTGAAATTTCTATTGTACAAAACGCTTTATCTCATTCTTGGCTAATTTCAGTCCCAGTAATACACATTACTGAATTGTAATAAGTACATCACCATTATAAGGTTACCTCAATATTGAGTGGGAGACCTTTACCAGACCATTCGTTCTGCCATTGCAGTATCAGCTCCTGAGCCGCCTTTGTGTTCCTTACGGCCATCACAACATGAGCACCAGCTTCTGCAAGCTGCCTGCGACCGAAGAAGCAAAAGAGCTAAAAAGCTTAGGGAAGTTTTCAGTAATTCGAGTCCCAATCTAGACGAAATCAAACTCAATTTGGTTGTAAATCGGAAGAAACGGGGAAGAGAACAAACCTCGCGGTTTCACGGCCAATGCCGCTGGTGGAGCCAGTGACAACGCAAGTGAGGTCGTTGACGGAAGGAAGAGGAAGAGGATTCTCCAAATGAGAAGCTGTGATCCTCTGGAAGAGAATCTCCCCGAAAACACTGCTCCATCCCCTCATCCACTCCATCCATCCCAGATTCTGCTTCTTCTTCGCCGGAGCTGGGGACGGAGATGACGTCGTTTCGTCACTCATCTTCTTCTTCTTCCGGAGTTAGATCTATGACGTTGCACAGCAACAAAAAGACAAAAAGTGTATTTCGTCAATATCTATGGCTTCACAACCTCAACTCCTGGAAGCTCCGGATAATATATATAATGGGCCGGCGAGATTTTTGTGACCCAGAAGTAGAAGATAAACAATTTCAATTGACCGGTCATGGACTCATGGGTCAACGATTACACATTGTTAATGTGTTTCATAAATATGTTTACAATGATTTCTATTTTGTAATTATGAATGTCCTGACTAGTAGTGACTATGCAACCGGTCATAGCATTACTGATCTCGTAGACAAAAGAGTAATAGAGTCGCTCCAAACTTAAGCAAAATGAAAGGAAGAAATGACACTGAGTTATTTGACTACATTCAAGGAAAAAAGTGAGACAAAATCAATCCTGAAATGTAGAATTTGTCCTACTCTTGGATTTTGTGTTCATATGACAAATCTAGTATGATGAATCCTTCTTGTTTTGGTGTCCAATGATTGTGGATTGTGGTTGATGTGTTATTCGAAAGTGGAACATCATTAAACAACTCTATTTTCATGAGTGTTGTTACATTGTTACACATAATAATAACTTGGTATTATGTAAATAAGGAAAAAACAAAAGTAGTTTGACAGTTAGTACAAGTCAAGAGACTCGAGCACTCTACCAGCCTGGATATGAAGCGCCGTGATTCTTTGTTCAGGATCACCTGTTGAACCGAATTGACTCGCCGCCCATATTAAAGAAGCAGATTTTTCACCCAAGAGGCGCCTGATGTCTTCATTTACACTCGCTATTGGAGATCGATCCTTCCCATTTACGTGTCCAACTAACAGTAGTAAGAACTCTCCGCATCTTAACCTGTGAATCAGTAAGGAACTAAACATGACCAAAAGCCTAAACCACTACCATCGGTTACTTACAAAGTGGATGATATCATTCACTAAATCATAACTAGTGACCTTAGAGTTGGAACTCTTAAGGATGTATGAGACAAAACTTGAGATGAGAAGAGCTTAACTAGACAATTTGAAGACTATTCAATGAATTTGACAAGGAAATCGATTTAAAATTTACTAAAAACATAAAAACCAGAAGAGACAAAAAGGAAATGAATCTTCGTTGACGGCAATTTTTATCGTGTAAATACTGTAATATAAACATATGCAAAATGCCACAACAAGTGCCATGAAGAACAAAAGCTTGGTATTCACCTGAGGTTTTCATCAGCTTGTTTGTCTCGCATGAGCATTGCAACCTCTTCAATGCCATTGCAAGCTCCAAAATCCTGTTACCATGAGAAATTAGAAAAGTTAAAATAAAAAGCAAGTGAAGGCCAGTTTGTTCCATTGATATACACAGAAACTTTAACTAGAGGTTTAAATGTGTATCTGTCTGAGAATCAAAACTTAACAACCTGCTTTCTATTTCGTTTATAAACACAGAAGTTGTTACTAAAAAACAGAAACTGAATACTTACCACCTGATTTGCTGATGAATCCAGCAATACTGAGATTAAGGCATCCAAGCAGGCTCCTTGCTCAAGTACTCCTCGTGTTGATAATACATTCATCATTACCTGAAACATTTTATGAGCATCCCAATCACATTAACATCCCACTGCATCAATCTAAAACATGAAGGGTCCAGCATAAATAGACAAAGAAATGAAAAACGTTCAAAGATGTCTCATACACAAGAGTCTCCCTTTTCGCCAAATCAGAGTGAGAGGTGACAAATGTCAAATGCAGGATTCTAGTTTCTAGAGTTCTCTATGCATCAATAGACAAGTAATAAAGTAACAAACGAAAGTCTTTCTTACGCGGACTGCACCATGCTTATGAGCCAGGACAGTGCTCTGAGGATGGAGAAGGCAGCATCCTTCGAGAACTCTAAGAGCAACAGCAACCTCAGCATCCGTAGAAGGACTTGTTATCTTCATCGGCTCCACACTGAATATATGATCCAAGCTCGTCACTTTATCATCCTCCGCTTCTTTCAATGAATGTTGAAAAAGCACCGGAACCACTACGAAATCACGAAGCTTCCATCATCAGATAACACATTACACAGCATCGATTTGAGAACGACAATGAGGAAAATAAAGATATCAGACGTTGGAGATCGGAAATGGTTTGG